GTAGTAGTAGTAGTAGTAGTAGTAGTAGTAGTAGTAGTAGTAGTAGTAGTAGTAGTAGTAGTAGTAGTTGTAGTTGTAGTCGTATTAGTAGTAGCAGTAGTCGTCGTCGTCGTAGCAGTAGTCGTAGTAGTAGTAGTAGTAGTAGTAGTAGTAGTAGTAGTAGTAGTAGTAGTAGTAGTAGTAGTAGTAGTAGTAGTAGTAGTAGTAGTAGTAGTAGTAGTAGTTTTTGTTGTTAGGGTATTATGGTCGTTGTTGTCTACTGGTTTTGTCTCTTCGATTCCCTCGGAACCTTCCGCTGAGTTTCTGCGGCCTCTTCGACTTGTCTCGAGGCCGCTTGCTGAGGGGGTACTGCGTTGTGATGTGTTGTATGGTGCTACCTCTCGCAGGGAGGATTGCAGTGCCGCTGGCAGGAAGCCTTGCTCGGGGTACACATTGTTCATGTTTCATTCTTCGAAAGTGTTTTGTTGAGTTTTTGGGGGGCCAAGATCCTTTCATGTCCAATTGTTTCATCCTGGTCCTCTTCCTGGCCACTAGGGGGCCAGGAACAAAACCAGCGCACTTAGAAATGAGCACGATTAGAAATGAACGACGTGTATTGTAGCGCCGCTGGCACGGAGTGCTGCACCCCAGCACGGGCCATTGCATTGTCTCCCGCAGGGGTCTGAAGATCAGCAGAGGTAGATGTCTTGTGCAACCGACTGAAGCCTCTCTTGTCTGGCATGGTGTCCCAGGCCGCGTGTGGCGTCTAGCCACCTTCCTTTTCTGTGCGCCCGCTGCACGGTGCATTTCACTCACAACATCTCCCACAGTTGTTGTAAGCCGTCGCCCCAAGTTGCTATTGTGGTGAGGCCGTCAAGGTCAAAAAACGTTTCCCGCAGGGAGTGCGGTCGACCCGCTCAGTAAGGATGAGCGGCTTCTCCTAGGGAGCCCCTGCAGCCTTGCCCCTTAGGCCCATCCTTAGCAACTTCCGCCGGCCAGCCCCACTCGAAAAGCGTCAGCATGGCCCTCCAAGGCCCTTGCAGCCTTCTCGTGCGTCCCTGTGGCGCGGGTCGACTGGCACCGCAGGGGCGCAGGGAAAGCTCTCGTGGCAGTGCCCCGCGCCGACGCCGTCACGGCAGGAGCCCGCCGCTGTGGGGCCGCGCCTCGGGAGCTGCCCGCGCGCGCCGTTCGTGGACTGCGCCGTCCGTGGGCGGTCGCCTGGCCCCACGGAGGCTGCCTTGGGATGCCTTGGGGCCGTATTGCGTTGCGAGTCGTGGCCTGGGGCCCCAGGGCCCTCCTCGAGCCATCGCTCGTAGGCCAGGGAGCTTGAAGCACCAGCCTCACCGGAAGGCACCGTGGGCGGACTCAGGGCTCGCTCGGTGTTCTTCTACTCGGTGACACCTCAGGCCACCAGGGTGTAGCCTTACAGTCGGGGCCCCGAAGAAGGAACCCTTCTCGTTGGGGAGGGGCTCCGCGTTCCTTTAAGTGTCTCGCAGCTTGCCTCAGGTGTTCCTTATGTCTTCGATCGGAAATCGAAGTTTAGCTCATGGAAAGAAAGGAGCCTCGTTCCTGATTTGGGGTTCCTTAGGTCAAGGCCCCCACTGTACACCCTTGCACCCTCACGTCCTGGGCCGCCGTGGGCCCCGGGCTTACAAGGTCCACGTCGCCCCGGCCCGCCGCTGTGGTCCGCCCGCTCGACCCTCCTGCTCGGCTGTTGCGCGTGCTTCCGTCTCGTGCTGGTCGTGTTCTGCCCGGCCCGCCTGATCAGCTGTGCGTTCTTCGGGGGCGGCAAAAAGAGGGGGGTGATGACTAGGGGGGGGTGGAGATCATGGCGGGGGCCATGATATTTCCCCAGATTTCATGGCGCCTCTTCTTATTTCATTACGTCCCTGGCCCCCGCGCTGGGCCGCGCACATGCCGCCGGTCATGATTTGCACCCCCCCCTCTTGGACACCCCCCGAGTTCTGTCGTGTTCTGATTGTGTTGTGTACTAGTGTGCCTTGTGTGGCATGTCTCGACGCTGCGTTCCTGTTGCTTGCGCGCGCTGCGCGACGCGCTACACATGGTGAGGAGGTCTCAGGCGGAACGCCTGGCTCGCCTTTCTGACCGGCTTCGGGGTGCGACAGGGAGGAATTATTTATAATGGGAAGGGCATGGAGGAGGGAGAGGAGCCAGGAATTCCCCCCACTGCGCTTGGGTTGTGCCTACCACCCACCTGCGCTGAGGCTGTGCCCACCTTGCTATACTCACCGTCCGCAGCAATGTCGCCTGCCAGGACCCAGCTCGCTCACGGCAGTCCCCTTCCTCCTTTGATAACCTCTTCCCACTCCTCGTGTGCCTCCCATGCCACAGTCACCGTCTGCAACACTGCCGCGCGCCTGGGCCTAGATCGCTCAAGGCCGTCCCTTTCCTCGTTTAATCTCCACCTCACCTTTCAGGCCGAGCGAAGGCGCAGTTAGGACCCCATTCCCAAAGAGCATGGTAACTGCACCACCTCCAGAAGGGCATGGTAACTGCACCCCTCAGCCTCCCCCCAACAGAGCAGGCTGTGGGACTCCACCCCACCTCTCAGGCCGAGCGAAAACGCAGTTGTTGTTCGCAATACCGTCGCGCACCCGCCTGCCTGCCTACCTCTGCGTCCCTCCCGGCTTCGAGCCCTCCCCTTCCTCATTCCTCTCTCCTCGCGTGCTGTTCTACCTCGGGCGGCCCCCGCTTCTCCCGCCTCGCTGTTGGTGATCGCGCGATGCTCTCTGCATTTCGCTGTTCCCACCATCATCCACCGCTATCGCTTCATTTGTTTTCGCATTCTCTCTGCGTCTCACTTCTTCCCTAATTGGCTTCCCGACCCCCCTTGCGTTCAGACGAGGAGTGCTCGGCAGGACAGGCAGTTGCAGGACTATCTTCGTCAACCGTTAGCAGCAGCGGCCAGGGATGAGGGAGGAACAGGAGCGACGAGGAGCGAAGGACCACTTCGTCAACTTGTGTAAAAAGGGTCGTCGAGCACCGCGCGGGGCCTTCTCAGGGTGTCCTCGTGCGCCCTGGCGGCCTGGAGTGTCAGGGTGTGAGGCTACTACACCCCAGTGGCCTCGGGTAAAAGGGTGTGAAGGTGTCGGGCTATAGTGGCTTGGGGTGCTAGGTCACAAGAGTGTAAGGTTACACCCTCATGGCATTGGGCGCAAGGGTGCAAGGGTACAAGGGTGTAAGGGCACACCCCAGCGGCCCAGGGTGTAAGGTTGCAAGGGCGCCAGGCTACACCGAATCGGCCTAGAGTGGAATGGTGTAAGACTACACCATGGTGGCCTAGGTGTAAGGGTGTTGGGGTGAAGGCCTCACCGTAGTGGCCGAGAGTGTAAGGGTGCGAGGGAGTAGGTTACACACCACTGGCCTAGGGTGTAAGGGTGTAAGGCTACGCCCTCGTGGCTTAGGGCGTAAGGATGTAGGGGCGCAAGGGCGAACTCAGCGCCCCAGATCCTGCCCACGCTGCTAGAAAATAGTGATTGTGCGAGACTGGCACTCCTGGAC